TATATATATATATATATATATGTATGTATACGCACACACACCCCACTGGGATGTCAGTATCTATATTTCATTCCTCATGTAGAACTCATTTGGAATGACAAAAAAATTCCTTGAATTCTTCATTAATCTCATTATTCTGCACAAAATGTTCCTGACTCAAAGATGTTCAGAGCATTTTTAGGTTCAGTTTTATATAAAAAAGTGTCAATGCATTTCTTTAAAACTTTAAACAAATGAGTCAAAGCAAGTCAGTCTGACTTTTTCTTGTTTTTCCTCAAACACCTGGTCAGTCCCTCCGTTGGTTTTAAACTGAAGTGATGTTTCAGGCTGGAACTGCTCCGGTGGTGAGACGGTTCAGTGTTGCAGAGCTTACAGACAACTTTACTTCTTTCCAGCTCGCTGTTTGTTGGGAAAAGTTTTAAAATAAAAAAATGCCCTAAAGTATCTGCTGACTTCCACCCTGTTTCTACCCAATGCAACAGCTCGACAACAAAGGCTCTCATTGGTTGAGACGCGACGAAGGCCATTGTCCAGCACCAGTTTTGATACAGCTCAGCGTAGAGACGCCAGAAACTCAAACGTTAAAAATCCCTTTTTATTTTAAGTTTGCTTCCCTGAATATCTTAGTGTGTCTGTGTTTGTATGTATGAATGTGTTTGTGTGTGTAAACACTGTGTACCTGTCTGCAGGGCCTCCAGGCCTGACGTAGGTGACGACTAAGGGGCGGGACTTGTGCCAGTCTTCATGGGTACCGCCTGATTGAGCAGCAGGAGAAAACTGTTCAGACTCCAATAAGATTAATCTATGACTGATTGATTTTAGACCGCCTGAAACCCTGAACATTCCACAAAGCTGTGCCTGAAACGAGAAGGCGTACATTTATCAACATTTACCTCTCATGACGAAGCCGAAGCTGCTCCCCTCTTTGTGTAAACAGATGTCGATTGTCTTTGATATAAGCCCTGAGGTGCTGTCTGGTGCTGAGGACACAAACAGGAAGGAGGGGAGACAGAACCAGGAATAAAGACGGATGTTTGGCTGGCAGAACAACAGAAAGCACGATCACTTCAAATAAACAGAACTAACTGAAGAGACTCTTTTAATCAAACTACTGAAGCAAAGATCTTCAGGTTTATCAGTGGTGGGCACCAGCCCGCTGAAGTGCAAATCCGCTAATTGCGGACCTAAATATTTCGTTTGCACTTCAGCGGACTTACTAATTTTTACAAATCATAAGCAGATTTGCACTATGTACCAGTCATCATTATGTTGAACAGCAGAAGGTATGACTGTCAATGAATCACAACATGTGATCTATCCAACAGCACCCCTCCCAGATAAACACACTTATTGTGAAGGTATACATCCTGCTGACTGTTGCTTTGGGTCATGGTTCTGATTTCCCACAATGCTTTGTGTCTGCTTACGTAGCAGGAAGGCAATAGCAAAACAGTTAACGTTTGTAATCCATACTAAAATTTTGTATGTATTGATTTATTTTACTTTACAATCAGAGCTCCTTTTATTAAAAAATAATAATAAAGTTTAAACGCTGGAGCTCAAAACTTAATGTAATTGGTCAAAGTAATCGGCCAACGGGGTTAGAGACGCAGAAATGATTTAAAGATGTTATGCTGATGAAGACTGGCATCTAGTGGTCAACTGGAGCAACTACATGGAAAACTTTAAAATCYAAGCTCTTATTTTGAAGGGAAGATAGTTTCCTGTACTCCATGCTTTAGTTTCCCGTCACAAATCAAATCCGTCATGTACCCAAAATGCATCGCTTCAGTTTTCCAATAAACAGTTTTAAAATTACTTTATTGATGCTTCTTTAATGAAAAATCTACAACAAACAAAAGAAAAAGACAAAGAAGCAGTCGAACTAGCAATCCTCGACAACTTTTTAATTTTTACACCAGGAGCTAAAGTTATGTTTCAGGAAATCACATCCCCAGCAATCGGCAGTTGTAGGATTAAGTTGTAAAAGAGTTTATTCACTGCTAGTTGGCAGTGTTGTACATATATTGTACATAAATTATTGCCAGCTAGTAAGTGTCAAATTGAACTTGCGTTTTAAAATTAACTTCCGCAAGTTTTTCTATGGCATAAGCACTTTCGAAATTGCGGAGCTAATTTTTGGATTAGCGCTGCCCACCACTCGGGGTTATTATAACAGGTGTTTGTACAGCAGTGATTGATCTGTACCTGTAGGGGGCAGCTCGTACTCCACCTCCAGCAGAACTCTCTCCCCTACGTTCTTCAATAAACTAATTATCTCTTCGTGTCGCAGTTTGGTCAGATTGATGCCGTTAACAGACTTGATGTAGTCTCCGACGTTAAGCTGGTCGCTCCTGTAAAACAACGAGCCAAAGTTTGGGAAAATAAGACGACTTTAATCTAGTAACGGTCATTTTTGTTGTTTTCTTTTTGACTTGATCCAATCAAACGGTCGAAGTTTTAAAAATCTGTACGAGCTGCACCTGGCTGCCAGTCCTCCGGGCCGCAGGTTTGATACCCGTGGTTTGCCGTCCTTGTCGGTTCCTCCTGAGATGGTCAGTCCAAGTGTGCTGCCTTCTTTCTTGACCAGCTCCACCATGGTCACGCCCCGCAGAGCTTCTAACCAAAAACACAAAGCCACACACCCAGACGGACAAATCAAGACCATCAGGCCAAGAGAGAAACACAGACGGACGAAAACGCAAGAGAGGTCTGTTAGTTCCTGCTGCCTTCACTCAGTTTATAAAACTGAAACATCAGCCGCAGATACATCACAGTTGTAGGAAATGTAGCTAACGATGCACATCAGAAGATTTTCTGTAGAAGATGGTGAAATTATTTATGTTCTCAGAACTTTTCTCCATCATCAAACCATCTTCTATAAAATGCAAACATTAACAGCAGCTCCAGAAACAAGGAGTTGTTCCAACATTGTAAAATAAATCTTGGTTAAAATGAGTGATTTGAGCGTCACAATTCTCAGCTCCAAACCTCAGCATGAACCCAAAATGTACAACAACAAAGGTATCAAGGTTAACACTAACAAACATTGTAAAAAAGAAAATTCTATATCATTTATATGAATATTGCATCTTTTTATGTTTTACTTTTTCAAAATGAATTTGTGCTTAAAGAAATGAAGAAAACTTTGGAAGGAAAAATGGGCAAAATGTTACAGAAGTAACAAATGAAGAAAAATGCTTATGGAGTTTTATGTCATTGTAACCACACACACACACACACACGCACGCACGCACGCACGCACGCACGCACACACACAGGTAAAATGAGGCATGGGCTGACTGATGGTCAGATTAGGTAAATCCCTCAGGCGACACTCAGGATCAGTGAAGTGATTCACAACTTATCAGTGCTCGGTGTTTTACACTCACACATTTAACACAAACACACACATTTTACACAGAAACACACACATTTTACATAAACGCACACATTTTACACAAAAACACACACATTTTTCACAGAAACACACACATTTCACACAGAAACACACACATTTCACACAGAAACACACACACACTGCACACAGAAACACACACACT